CCTATTAAATTAGACTATCTTTATTGAAAACCAGGAAAGCGAATAATTTTGATCCTGATATACGGATGACGGTTTCATCTATCAAAACCTATATATTTTAATTTCAAATCTCATTCTACAGTTCAATCAAATCAATAGTTATATTTCAATTCAATGCAATTAATTAATTATACATATAAAGAGAAATACTGCGTAGTTTCCGAAAACCGTTGAAACTATCATGGCGACGAAGTAGAAAAGAAAGGAACACCAAAGAAAGGGGATGAAAGATCTTCGTCTAGCTCGCGCGTCTTAACCAATCACCGAGCACGCGACGCTTCCGAAAACGAACTACGATTCGCCAAACCGTCCCCTCCAAGGACGATGTTCGCGCGACGGGCCCTTCGACCATCGATCGCGCACGAAATTTGTCACTCTTGATCGATCAATCGTAAGTACATGATCGGGAGCCCGTGTGTCCGAGAGACAGAGTTGTTTGTAATTTCGTGATAGTTTTCCTCTGCGGTAAAGACCTCCGCGTAGCGAGGCAGAGTGCCGTGGTAGTTGAAACATCCGATTCTTAACAAGGACTCATAGACGCGCACGTAAAACCTTCCTTCTCCCTAATATTCTATCTATTCTTTCTGTTTTTAAATCATTTGCTCGCGTAGTATTTTCGTATTTACTTCATCTCGCGTAATTTTATATTAATCGTAATTCGTATTTTTCGTTAACCGTTTGTTTCTCGTCGACGTACTCGTCCGTAATAATCCGTTTTCGCCGCTGCAAGTGCAGTGATCGAAATCTTATCGTTTTTTGGTGTTCCAGATCATCAAGCGAATACACGGAATCTTAGCAAGCGAAAATTATAATCTTGTATTGTATTAAACAGCGTAACGGTAAGTCGATTCCATTACATTTTTCGAACACGACGTTATCTATTGGCAAAATGGGCGATCTGGTCCAGCCCTTCAGGGTTACGAGAGAGTCTCAGTTCAGATCGTTCCACGATACAAGGTATCAACTGATTTAATTATTTTCCTCAATTATCACTATCACGCCATTCCAATTTTCCATCATCAAAGGGGCACCTTAGTGCAATCCTTTCGAGGGTTACGAGAGTATCTCAGGCTGGGGTGTACCCACACGGGCGAAACCGCCGATTTCTCGTTTAATTCAAGGAAAACGAAATAGTGAGAACCATTTCACGCGACCGGTACCTAACTCAATAGTTTCAATTGTAATATCAGAGCGTTTTCATATCAAATATTTTTGTTAATTAATTCTAAGCATCTTTACCCTTGTTCATATTTTGCAAAAACTGGTATTTTCTATATTAACGAATTTTCCAAATTTATTAAAATCTTAATTTTGGTATTTCTTTGTTATTATTTACTTGATTTTTCATTCACAATTAAACCAGTTTCATTTACTTAAACAGTTTCAGATTTATTTCAAACACACCTCACACTTTTCAGTTAAAACACGCCTACCAACATACACAGATTCCAGGAGGGACCCGTACGGGACCTAAGCGTTGAACGAACCCAACGAAAGGCTAATAGTTTATAACTTCTAATCTAACATCTTATTAATTTTGTCTTTCGTCTTTTAATTGTCGAGAGCCGTCGCACGCGCAACGTAACACCTTTTTTACATTATGACAGGCGACAAAGGATTAGGTTTCGTATTCATTTTAAACGACTAAAAATGTTCTACCAATTCAGTTATTTTATTGTGCTATGCCAACGTTGTGCCGAGCCGTTTGTTCCGACCTAAGTCAGGCCCGGTTTTCGTAGCCGACATTGCAGTCCTTGAGCCCGCGCGCTGTACACGCTCGGATTGGTCAGTGTCTTTTGTTAATAACTCGAAAACGAACCAACATTTTGGCAAAGGAAAAAGTTATTTAGAATCACTTTAGCAATCATCCCTCTTCGGCTGTCGAGGTAGTCGCGCGACACCCTGTATATCCTACTAAATATTGAAGGTTTTATCGCGAACGATACATTCCTTGCACAGTAACATGAAGCAATAGATTTTTTGCTATAATAGTAGTTATTAACAAATTCCATAAATTTTTGCAAGTGGGATCATCACGGATATACCTTCTACTAAACGTGAAAGGTTTCATCGCAATCGGTACATTCCCTGCAGCATAAACGCCGGAAGATATAAATGAAGTATTAGGGCCATTCCACGCAAAGTGATCACACTTTTTCCCGCATAGTCTTGGATTTTTGTTAAATTTTGTAGGCTTGTAGAACACAATGTACGAACAAAAAATCGATGCTCCGTTCCTCGATATTGTTTAAACTTTCCGAGTTATACGGACTGAAAGTTTAGGGTCACTTTTTTTTTCAAAAAATCATAACTCGGAAAGTATTATAGATATCGACATGCGTGATCCTGCATTTTATAGGTAAACCTTCAAAGTTTAATACAAAAATTACTACATGTGTCAACGCAATCTTCAAATTGTTGTAAATAATGTTTATAATTTTCAAAATTGAAAATAACCTCAAGGGGGAGCACGAATCGGTCTGAAATTTTTTCTGTAGAATCTTTAAAGAGTTTTCTAAATACCCTGAAAATTTCATGATGGAACACGCAGAATTCCCGGAGTTATAAAATTTTATTGCTGCGTATGACCTGCCGGCGGACCATCGCGCGCCGTCCGGTCCCCATGCGCCACTGCACTTGTCGGCGTTACTTTTCGGTCTACCCGCTTACAAATACAAATTGGAGTAAATAATTGTTTCTAATACATACTTTTTTCTTAATCTGGAGAGGTGATTTTAAAGATTTTGATGGGATAGGAGATTCACTAAGAGATTTAAGGGCACTATTTAACGACGATAACGAATATTCCCGATCTATTTCTTCTACATAACTATCTGTATTTGTTCCCGAATTTGACGAATTGTTGCTTATTACTTCTTCTACATTACTTGGACCAGAAACTGGCTCTTAAACTGTTGAAGAACAACCCGGCTCACTTACGTTTACGATAGCAAGATTTGGACGATTTAATCTAGATGTTTGAATTACTCACATTCTACACATGCAGTACAAATTTTCTCCTAATATTATATTCTGATATTTTTCACGAAACGCGATTGTAACTGATCGAAGATTTTTAATTACATTTGAATGTCGAGATAAACTAAATGGATTGGAACAATATCTTCGCGGCATTTTTGCTTTCCACCAGTACACAATTACAGTTTTAAACTAAGAAAAACAAGAAACTGAAAAGTATACAGCACTGTTATGCACAACACTGAACGCTTAACTGAAACTCTCCTTGCTTTCCCAAATAAAACTGAACGGTGTTCTGGAAAAGTGAACTGTCGATGTCGTTTAGCCATACTTTTATTGCCTTTTAAGGGTTTGTAGACAAAAGTACCAAAAACGGGTCGACCTATTCCGTAGTTGTTAACCAATGGCTGGTTATTTGAAAAAATGTAGAGTAGCGGCGCATGGGAACCGGACGGCGCGCGATGGTCCGCCGGCAGGTCATACGCAGCAATAAAATTTTATAACTCCGGGAATTCTGCGTGTTCCATCATGAAATTTTCAGGGTATTTAGAAAACTCTTTAAAGATTCTACAGAAAAAATTTCAGACCGATTCGTGCTCCCCCTTGAGGTTATTTTCAATTTTGAAAATTATAAACATTATTTACAACAATTTGAAGATTGCGTTGACACATGTAGTAATTTTTGTATTAAACTTTGAAGGTTTACCTATAAAATGCAGGATCATGCATGTCGATATCTATAATACTTTCCGAGTTATGATTTTTTGAAAAAAAAGTGACCCTAAACTTTCAGTGCTTATAACTCGGAAAGTTTAAACAATATCGAGGAACGGAGCATCGACTTTTTGTTCGTACATTGGGTTCTACAAGCCTATAAAATTTAACAAAAATCCAAGACCATGCGAGGAAAAGTGTGATCACTTTGCGTGGAATGGCCCTTACGTTTTCCGCGATAAAGTCGTTAGGAGTGAAAAAACACAAAAATTTTCTTGCATGACCAATCGGGAGATATACTCTACAAGATGCAAAAGTTTCCATCAGATTGGTCCCTCCGTCTCGGAGTAATCGGCGAACGTACGGCACACGTACATGAAATAGTGCGTGTTTTTGCAAGAAAGAACGTTCGGAATGAAAAAATATAAAATGTTTTTTTAATGGGACCAATCGGAAGACATACTCTACAAGATGCAAAAGGTTTCGTTTCGATTGATCCAGGCATCTCGGAGTAATTGGCGAACAAATCCAGAAAGAAAAAAAATATACTGATCGAATTAAGTATCCTCCTCCTTTTCGAAGTCGAATAAAATGCAATACGACGGAGCTTGAAGGAGCAGCGTTGGAAGGAGACCCAAAACATGTGTTCCGGGAGTAAATTCCTCTACTTGGACAGGCCTGCCCTATAGGAACTAATTCGTTTCGATGCTCTGGCTGCAAGTTTAAATTATACAGGACGTCTCAAAATAAGGGGGACCCCTTAAATATTTCAGTAACTATGGACTTTAGAGCAAAATGTTTCGAACAAAAGTTGTAAGGTTTCTGAGGCTGCATCCTCCAGGAACCTGTGTGTTGACCCCGAGGTCACGGGTCAAGGTCATTTGAAGTTTGAACCGATTTTTTTCTATGGGTACTCATAGTTTTCACCCCGGAAATGGAAAGCACAGAAAATTGTACGTTCGAGCATGTACATGGTTTATGGTCAGATTGACCTCCTAAGGAGGTCACCGTTGTTCCTAACATTTTTTTTCAAACTCTATAGTTTTTGAAATATTCCGGGGATTCGCTGTTTCTGGTACACCCTGTATATGCTGTATCTCGCTGCAGTAACGGGCAGTATATAAATAAACAAGTATATAAATAAAAAATTTCGAACATCTGTTAATGCAAAAAATTGTTTTTCAAGTATTTCGAATAAATTTGCAACGAAAAACAAATATTTTTGCGGCATAAAAATGCAGAACAGACCCCATATTGTACGGGGATACTGACGGCGGTATTGATACTTTTTGCAGTTCTGGCTTAGGCTTGAAGCAGCTCACTCCTCTGGTCCTATCATTGCGCATAAGCGCCCGTTTACATATAGTACGTCAGCTACCGTCCTTCTGAGGACAGCTCATTCTGTTGTTTACCATCTTGCAACCACAGACACCATTCTGTACGGTGATACGGGCGGCGGTATTACTACTGTTTGCAGTTCTGGCTTAGGCTTGAAGCAGCTCGCTCTTCTGCTCCTTCTATTATGGTGCATAAGCGCCCATTTACATACGTCCTTCTGAGGATAGCTCATTCTGTTCTTTACGTTCTTGCAGTCGTTTTTCGATTTCTGTGTTCTATTTCCGACGTAAGTAAAATGTATCACGTAAAACTAAATAGATTTTATATTAATTCTGTTCCTTTCACTGCACCGAATATAAATCATGGACGATCATCTTCGAAATATCGCTCCCGGAGGCCGTCCGATTAGAACGCGTCGCCAGGGTACCGTTACTGGCCGAAAGGAACGCCAGCGTAACTCGCAAATACAATCTTAGAGCCGCTCTGAAACACCTTCCCCACCTCCTAATCAGTCAACGAGCTCCGCCTTGATGCGTGTTCCCGCTTCTCCTGCGCCCGTCGACGAAGCTTACGTAACACAGCAGTGCCGGCTCTTCCACGCTCCGTCGGCCGACCAGCCATTTACGCCGATATAGACCCAGCGGACGAGATTTTACCATACACTGGAAGGCGATGTTTTGGTCCACAGTGGTTATGCCTCACAGAAGAAGACGCACAAGGTTGATGCACGCTCCCCGGTATCGACGAACGCCGGCGTCGATTACAACGCGAGAAAAAATATCGTTTGAAAGAACCCCAAGAAATCGCACGCTGCACAGTGGGACAAAACGGCTTTCGGCGATCAAAATTCGATTTTCGTGAATTCGAAAATTGAAAAACTAATTACATACATCGATAGAGGATAAACTGTAGTTTAACGTAGTGTAATCCGTTTTTTCATATTTGCTTCCATTTTGCCGTGGTTCGCACTCAAAGTCAGTAGAAATTCGTCAAAACGAAACGCTGATAATATTACCCGTAACTTCAATGTACGATTCTAATGAATTTTACTCAGAAAGATACAATTCAAATGAATGATAAAGTTTACTAGGATAGTATAGATTCTATTCAGTGCATAAAGTAAGTTAAAATGTTAACAACTTTTTAAAAAATAGGATCTGATTGAAACGAAGTACATTTAACTAAAATCTCAACTTTGAGCTTGATTTAAAAAAAATGCCACAACTTGCCACATATTTAATTATTACTACAGGAAAGAGTGAACCTTCCTCTATCAGAATCTGAAAAAATCGGTTGCACTTTTTTGCACTTTTTCAAGAAAATGGCGATTGAATGAAATTACACCCATCTTGGCCGCTGCGCGTGAAGATGGAAAAGCAGTAACAGATACGATTATTAACCAGTTAACTGCCTTATTAACTATTATTATTAATCATTGCAACGTGTATGTTCGTCATCCAAAACTTTATTTCGGTTTAATAAAAGTGTTCAATCTAACAACTATTTATAAATAATAGGATCTGATTGAAACGATGTTTTGGATGCTGGAGCGTTGGAAGAATATCCTTGGAAAGGAAACTTGCGGAAAGATCGCGGTTGTTATCCGATAGCGTTGAATTGGGCGGAGTGACACAGGACACAAAAAAAACTATAGTTTAAGACGGAACTTTTAATTAATACAGCGAGTTTATTAGTCACTGCACTCAAAGCCACAAATAAACTAACTAAAAAAAAGGAACGCTGGATTACGCCGATATTCGGTTAATAGAGTAGGTTAGATAACCGCGTAGCGAATGTTCTCGATAATAATGTAGGTGTAGGATAAACGTGTTTGCTTCTCTCGATCTGGATTACTAATAATCCCGAGTACGCGTAGCGTTCGCGAGGACACAGAGCAAATCGGTTATTACTGTCGCGGAGGAAGGGGAAGGGCGAGACCTTCGGGACACGGCGAAGGTGTTTGAAATTCTGCTACGCGCGCACCGGCGCGAGTAAATATTAAAATAAAGAGTGAGATGGACTGCCGTTGTCCGAACATTCCGTCCGCCTCGAAGGGGTGCCTTCGAAAAACGTTTCGCTACAGGAGCAACTTAACCTACGGGAGATCGAACGCCATGTGGCTTGCTGGATAGCTACTATGGTGCGGACGCGAGCGCGTGCATTTATGGTTCTCATGGCGCATTGGCGGTGAGATGATTTTCTTGCCGGTTGCCGCCCGCCGTGCTCCCCTGCAACGCATCTTCCTCGTTGATATCGACTGGGAGGAAGCAGAGCTTACTAAGGGGTCGCGAATAGGTAGAGCGACGAGTTTTGACCGTGACTACTCGAATTAAGCCGTCATCGCCGGGATGGCAGGCGACTATGCGCCCGAGGTCCCACTGGCAGGGAGGTGTTAAAGGGTTGCGCAGCAGGACAACACGACCGACTTTAGCTAAGCGCTGAGCTACGCGCCATTTAGGACGCTGTTGTAACGTGTGTAGATATTCGCGCGACCATGATCTCCAGAAATTCTCCGAAATGCGCTGAACGAGCTGCCAACGCGATAACCGATTTTCGCTTAATTCTAAAACGCTGGGCTCAGGAACCGCAACTAAAGGGGCGCCGATTAAAAAGTGACCGGGCGTGAGAGCATCGTAAGTGTCGACGTGTTCGGAAACGGCTGCGATGGGGCGCGAATTCAACGCCGCTTCGATGCGACACAGAAGCGTAGTCAATTCTTCGCCTGTAAGCGTATGATTTCCCACGCATCGTTTCAAGTGGTGTTTGACTCGGCGCACTCCCGCCTCCCACAGTCCTCCAAAGTGGGGCGCAGCGGCAGGGAGGAAATGCCACTGTACCGAGTCGGTTGCCATTTGGTTCAAAAAATTTGGATCGCGGACTGCTTGTCTATGTGAGGCGAAAAGTTCACGGTCTGCCCCCTGAAACGTCGTGCCGTTATCCGAATACATCGATTGAGGGAGCCCACGTCTAGCAGAAAAGCGGTGAAAGGCTGCGACAAACACGGCGGATCCATAATCGTGCACAAGCTCCAGATGTATGGCTTTGTTGTCATGCAAACGAAGAGCGCAATGTAGGCTTTATGGGACTTATGCCCGCGCCCAGAAGTATCGCGCACGAGTATGGGTCCCGCGTAATCAACTCCGGTGTGCACGAAAGCACGAGCGGTGCGATTGACGCGGACGGCAGGTAACGATCCCATGAGCTCGGTGGGGACGATCAAGATTATTAAAATAGTAAAATAAGTAAATATTAAAATAAGGAATGAGATGGATTGCCGTTGCCCGAACAAACGAAGTACCTACATTTAACTAAAATCTCAACTTTGAGCTTGATTTTAAAAAAATGCCACAACTTGCCACATGTTTAATTATTACTACAGGAAAGAGTGAACCTTCCTCTATCAGAATCTGAAAAAATCGGTTGCACTTTTTTGCACTTTTTCAAGAAAATGGCGATTGAATGAAATTGCATCCATCTTGGCCGCTGCGCACGATGATAGAAAAACAGTACCAGATACGATTATTAACCAGTTAACTGCATTCCACGTGTATATTCGTCATCCAAAAGTTTATTTCGTCCTTGCAATATGCCATAATAAATTTTCATAATTGTCGAAACTGTTTTCACGAATGATTTGGTATCGATCATAATAAATATAAATAAATATATTATAATAACACATGTCTTGTCATTTTTTAATTATTAAATCCGTTTCTCTTATAGTTATTAACAGTTTTGAGTCAATTTTTTGTTAAATGACATAAAATATGTCTAACAAGTGAAGGATATTGAACGCGCTACAGTTTATACGTGAATATCTTGACACCCTGTAATTCAATATGATTTATATTAATACAACTTAAGTATCATAATGTAGTCAAAAACTTCCCAAAATTTCATTAAAATATTTCCAATAGAACCAAAGTTACAGAATTTTGATCGCCAAAAGCAGTTTTGTCCCACTGTGCGCCGTACCGAAGCAGCTATGGCCACGAAACCATCTACTGAAGCCTACTATTACAACATTGGGGCGATGGATGTCATTTGTTTCCACTGCATGGCGAAACACTGAATCCGAGCGTACTGAGGCCGGGCACTTCTCTTCTTGCTGCTCTAATGGAAAGATCGCATTTACCCTTCGGCCGATCCACCCGTACCTCCGTGAGGTCTTCACTAATCCAGCTCACTGTGACTTCAAATATTTTCAGGGTAATAGTCGCTACCTCACAACTCTGCCTTTGGCTTCTGTTCCCTTGGCCTTAAAATTGATCACGCTCTGTCTGGCGCTTACTGTCTCATTGGTAGAGGAGAAATCTTTCATCGCATTGGCCTGTTGCACCAAGAAGACATTCCACATACGACTGCAACGATGCCGCATGCCTCGGCCCACTTTTGCGACATTGAAACAGCCACAAAACTCCGCTATGAGGCCGCTAAATTAGATCCTCGCATATTGAATAACATTTGTGTTATCATGCAAGAAAATTCGGCCCTCGCTCAACAGTACCTTCACGCGTACGAGAAAGAACAAGAGTTGATTCGTTGCAGACATCCACGACCTACAGTGCACATACAGTTGTTGCCTAGCCCTGCTGGCGCCGGTATCCACGTTGAACGTATCAACCTTCCGACTACACGCGACGATGTTGCGGTCTTATACGGTGACCATGATGGTCTTCCCCGCCAGCAGCATCAACTTATAATTCAAAACCGTGCCAATCCCAACGCCGAACCTCTACAGATCGTCAAGATCGTTAATCCGCTTCTTGACGCCATGCTCTACCCTCTGCTTGATCCACATTACGAAATCGAATGGCACACCGGCATACCTCGTGCGATTGTAAACAACACCCGGAAACACGTTACCATTCGTGAGCACACCGTTTATCAGGTGGTCATTCGCGACGACCAGGAATACTTGCAGGACTCTGGCAAATTGTCCCAACAATAGTTGGTCGATATGGCTCTCCGTGTTCAAGAAGATATGCTTCAATGGTTACAGGACAATCAAAGTACCCTGCGTCGAGACACCTTACAGAACATCGGCGACTTCAACAACCCCGCTCGCAGAAATGTTCTGTCGAACGACCAACCTGTCGCCACCAATTCTGAGACCAGTGTACCAGTTTTGCTGCCGTCCACCTTCATCTGCGGACCCCGTCATGCAATGAATACTATGCACGATATGTTGGCCATGTCTATGCAACTTGGTGCTGCGACATTCTTTGTAACAGTTACGGCCAACCCTGCTTGGCCCGAGATCAAAACCGGTCTCAATCCAGAAAACAAACGCGACTTAAGGCCTGATATCGACAACCGTGTTTTCCACTGTAAACAAAACCGCTTCAAGGATTTGGTAACCAAAGAGGCCTTCTTCGGCAATATCCGCTACTATGGCTACTCTGTCGAGATGCAAAAGCGGCAGATCCCTCATTCTCATTGGATCATCGCCGTTGAGCCACCGCACAACTCGCGGGATCCCGAATATATCGATCGGGTCATTTGCGCCGAAATACCAGACCCAGAGGTGGACCCTGAGTTGTATGAAATCGTCTGTAATAACTACCTTCATCTTTGCACCGAAATCTGTTTGCCTGGCGGCGGTTTTACATGTAAAAAGAATTTTCCGAAAGCCTTCCAAAATCATACTCAGGTGCAATTAAACGGCTATCCTCTCTACCGTCGGCGAAACAACGGCCGACACGTTATGAAGAGGCGCGGTCAGATACCAGTTCGCTTGGACAACCGTCACGTCGCGTCGTGCCGTACAATCCTTACTTGGCCAAGATGTTCGATTGCCACATTAATGTAGAGCACCTTTCCGGCATTTGCGTCATTAAATATGTAAGGAAAGCATCCTTAGTCTTAGTGAATTTAGCGCGTAAGCAAGTCAATAAATCAGATCTCCCATGGTACGGAAACAATCGAACGAAGACACGCGGCTCCAAAAAGACGAAGCAAGCGACATAGTGCAATTGTAAAACCACGCAAGAATTATAAAAGTGTGAATAACACCGAATGTTGTTTCTGTGTTATTACAGAGAAACTATTCGACCCATTATTCACCGACAAATTATAAAATAAATAAGACATTATAAATATATTGTAACCGTACATTTGTACAGTTACATAGTACAGTACAAAGTAGCATAGACTTTTTGTAAGAGATCGGAACTATAGCGATGGTACGTGCTATCCCTACTTATTCATGATAGTGGAGCGCGTGCGCGGATCCCCTCCTTCGAACGCCGGATCGAAGGAGCTCAGTGTCGATCCATCGATCGACACTCTGGTCCCAAACGACAAGCAGAACGGACGCTTTCACCTACGGCTCTCTTCATAGAGACAACCGTCTTAAGATTGCGATCCAGCAAGTCGTGACTAGAGCCCGAGCTTGGACATCTCCCTTTCATTTAGTAGTGGCCTTCTATCTGGGGACTCAGCACCCTCGAAAGATCGCTCTACACAGGCATATCCGAGACGTCGTTGATTCCTAGGGAAACCTAGTCGAGTCATCATCGTTTTGCTTGTGCTCTGGCAATTTTACATTACAATTTGGAGGGCCGTGATCTCGCTCTTGGCAGTCTTCATTTCTTCCTTGAGTACGCCGTGTACGACAGGAAGAACGTTGACGGATTCCGGCAAATCCACTGTTACGGATACTCTCAAATTCACGTATTTCAATCTGCAAAGGAGTCGAGGGTCGGGACTTAGTGCGCGACCTTCTCATCCTTTGATTGTGAGTGAAATCGTGAAGTCAGTGCCCCTGTCGATCTGAGGTTCGCAGGTGAAAACCTCGCTGGACCGGAAGTATCCTCGGAATCCACTGGCTCGCCATTCTGCGATTTGAGAGGCGCGTTAAAGCTAATATTTCGCTGTACGGTTGGTAAATTTAAACGTTCCTTTTTTGCCTACGCGCTCCACGATCACGCGACCGTCGTGCGTCGTGATTTCGGTGTATGTTTTCAAGACGAATCGAGCGAACAATAACTCGTCCTTGGTGAAAGGCGTTTAAATCGTAGACGACCGACGAAACTTTGTAACCGTCGTGTGGATATTACCTTTCGCATTCCGATTAGAGTCATGGTATTGCGTTCTGGTTCTTTTTGGTATATTCTTTTATATTTTCGTATATTTTCTTATATTTTCTTAAATGCGTTATTCAACCAGTCATTTTTCCGTATAAAAGAAGACTGAGTTTTTTGAGTCGCGTTAAAGTCGCTCGACTGGTTGAGATCTTTTCTTTGCGTTATATTTCCTTCTATTTTCTTGGGTTATATTCTATTCAATAATAATTATTCCGCAATACCTAAGGTGCGTTATTCAACCAGTCATTTTTCCGTATAAAAAAAGACTGAGTTTTTTGTTAAGTCCCGTTAAAGTCGCTCGACTGGTTGAAATATTTTCTTGTGCGTTACCATTCTTGTATTACATTTCCGATTCGTGTAAATCCGATCTGCGTGCCCAGCACGAATTATTGACGATTAATCTAGTCAGGTCCGTCGTATAGTATATTTTATAACAAGCGCGTCTATTGAACATCTATGAAATGAGAATTGCGTTCCGTTGATTGTTAAACGCGTAAACTGCCATAATATTTGCGGTGCTTCCACCATTCTGTGATAGGCTCTTTTGCCATACTCCAGTCACTAATATTTTGTTGAATAAATCAGTATTTTGTTACACCGCAAACCTACGTCTCATTACTGACTTCACCGTTCTTTCTGCCTTCGCGAACGCGCAGCGAACGCGAACCACTCCTTGAGAATCGTAGGGGAAATCATACGCTCGTACTACTCGCGTTCATTCTCCTTCGTAAAAAGTAGTAAAAGAAAAACGTTACAATATATTTAATCATATAAATAAAGACCACGATGTCGCGCACATTGCCGAGATTGTTAGCTCCGAGACCGCCAATGAGATTAGGAGGTTCCGTACATTACGGTACGTTGGTTCATCCGAGGCCCACTGGCATCTTATGAAGTACATGTTCGGTCTTTCACACGCCGTAGAGCGTCTTACAGTGCACACAAAGAACGACCGTATCGTGTACTTTGGTGATGGTCAAGCAGGTCCCGCGGCCCAGACAGCTTCTTTAAGCTCAACGCAATTAATCTGGTCGCTCGCAACTATCTATACCGTGACATCCCCCAAGGCTTTGTTTGAAATAGACAGACAAAAACCTGAACCGCCGGTGTCCGTCAAATGCGTCGAATTGGCCGCATCTTCCAAGTGCCACCGACAAACCCAGAATTGGTTGCCACTCGCCTCTTGCTTCACCACGTCAAGGGCCCTCGCACCTGGGACGAGCTCTTCACTTACGAAGGCAGAGTGTACGCCTCCGCTCAAGAAGCTTGCCACGCCCGCGGATTGATCAATAGTGGTACTGCCTTTGAAGAAACAAAATAACTTTTCGTATTCTGTTCGGCCAACTGTTTCCACCCAACGGCGGCCTAATGTGGGAACGTCAGAAAGAAGAATTCACACATGATCTAATCCGTGTTTACGGTACCGACGACAATCTCCGTTTCGCACATGGTCTACGTAACATACGGTTGATTGCCGACGCCAATATGGTAGATTGGACCAACTTAAACTTTCCCGAACCATCGGTCTCCACATTCTGTCAATTGCGTCCCTTCGACGAGTACGTTATACCGAACGAAGAATACGTTGGTCGTTTGAATGCAGGACAACTCAGTGCGTACAATACCATCATCGCCACACTCAACCCGTCGTACGCAGGCCCTACCTGCTTCTTCCTTGATGGCCCGGGTGGTACGGGTAAAACATTTCTGTACAAGGCCCTCATACAGTATTTTCGGAATCACGGGCACGTCGTTGTCCCTTCTGCATGGACTGGAATCGCGGCCCTTCTCTAGCCTGGAGGCCGTACCTCACACTTCTTTTTCAAATTCCCCATTCCCCTCATGGAAGACAGCAACTGCGGTTTTTGCCGCGCCAGCGTCGCAGGCCGACGTTTGATCGACGCTAAGTTAATTATCATTGATGAAGCGTACATGCGTGAATGGTTAGCGCTTATGGCTATGAACCGCATTCTTAGGGACTTAACTGAAGTCCGTCACCGGCCATTCGGTGGTAAAATACTTTTGCTCGGCGGTGACTTCCGACAATGCGCGCCTGTAATTCCTAACGCTCCTGCTGGCTCAAACATCGCCGAGTCCATTCGCAGTAGCAATCTTTGGTCGGAGTTCAAACTTCTTCCCCTCACGCAGAACATGCGTGTCGGACCTGGAGAACAAGATTTTGCCGAGTGCCTGCTCACTATCGGCAGTGGTCCCGTTAACGTTCCAGACACTGACATCATGAGCATTCCTGACGACATACTGTTTCACGGATCGCCTCAGGACCTCATTCAACGGGTGTATGAAAATAACCTTGCTCAGCCGAACCCCAATCACGCCTTACTCTGCTCTCGCAACGATCACTGCGACTACATCAATAATCTAATACTAGATTCACTTGAAGGAGATCAACGCGTTTACTTCTCCGAGGATAAACTAATAGACCCATCGGCCGAAGCAATTGCAGACTATTCGCCCGAACTCCTGAACCACGTCGAAGTGGCTGGCCTGCCTCCGCATCAACTTCGCCTCCGTGTCGGTGCTATCGTCATACTTATACGCAATATGTCACCAGTAGATGGATTGGTAAACGGGACTCGCCTACGCATAACATCTCTTGGTAATCGCACTTTCCGGGCGAAGATAATCACCGGCACTCATATTGGTCAAGATGCAATAATTCCCCGTGTAAAACTAATTCCAAGCGACAGCACCTTGGGTGTCGCCTTCAGCCGTGACCAGTTCCCGGTTAAAGTAGCCTTTGCGATGACAATAAATAAGTCCCAAGGCCAGACACTTCAGCGTGTCGGCATCTACCTCAAGGACTCTGTCTTCGATCACGGTCAGTTATACGTTGCCATGAGCCGTGAAACTTCACGCGTACAGCTTCGTATCCTTATCGGCCAGTCAGTTTATTCAACTCATCCTAAATCATCGCATACCAAAAATATTGTCTACAACCAATAACTTAGTGTTGAATAACTTACTTTGACTTAGCCGTTTTTCTACTTTTATATCTTGCGTGCACTTCTTTTTACCAATGCTGCCCGTTTAACTTGCACATAACAAACCGGACATGCCCGTACTTCTTTCTCGATCAACTTCTTCTTCAAACTTAAATCTCAGCTTACCGTTCAAACTAACCGTGATCGGAGGGGAAGCACCAGATCTTTCACGACACACATACAACTATCCTTAACATTGCAAGATACACCAGCAAAGACCACCGACTAAAGTAACCGCTGTACCAGTACACGCAGTGACTGCCGGGTCACTAGTAACTATGACTCTCTTAAGGAAATCAGATTAAAAGATTTTCTTTTACTAGGTGTCAGGAAATGTACAAAGAATATCTTAAAAAGCTTGCCGATGTTGTTGTGAACCATGACCACTCAATTTGGGAGCCACCCAAACAGATACCTAGCGAGGAAGACATCAAAAGTCTCTATCATAACTTATGGGAAAATCCCGGCCCAAAAGGAGCCTTATCATTTCTTCCGAAAAGACCGCCGCTAAATATAGCTGAAATCTTCCCTCCTATCACCTCGGAAGAAATAATAATTAAAATTAAAAAAATTCGAAATAAATCGGCAGCAGGCCTAGATGGTCTATAAAAAAAGCATCTACAGGTTCCCGGATTAACCACGGTGTTAGCAATGCTATTTAATATGTTATGTTATAGTTTCCATTATCCGGTTACGCGGAAAAACAATCGCACCACATTAATACCTAAAGGTAACAAAGATCTTAGCAGTGCTAGCAATTGGAGATCTATTACTATTAGTTCAATTTTAAGCCGGGTGTTTTCTTCTATTATAGATACCCGCATCAGAAGAGTAGTTGTTCAAAATTTTAGGCAGATAGGTTTTACGGCTGAAAACGGGTGTGCGTACAATATCGCGCTTTTAAGTTCGGGCCTCTCCAAATGTAAGACACAAACAGGTGGTACATTTATTGTGCTGCATATATCTAAGGCCTTTGACATGTTTCCACACTCAGCGATTGAACCAAGCTTAAAGAAATAAAATAATCTTTCACAAAAAAAAACCGACTTCGAAATGCACTAAAAAGTATAAAATAATTTTTATTTCATTTATACCAGCATTCAATAGCTACTAATAAAATCTACTTAATCGTTAAATAGGATACTAAATACATTTCAAAGTCTTCGGAGGCGGCGCAAAATTAAAAACCTTTCATATTCCAAATGACCCATTTCATATTTTCAAGTAAACAACATTCAACGGGAATCAACCGTTGGCACCCAAAATCCCGACACCCACAATCCCGACAGCCAAAATCCCGACAGCCCAAAATCCCGACAGCCAAAATCCGACAGCCCAAAATCCCGACAGCCTAAAATCCCGACAGCCCAAAATCCCGACAGCTCAAAATCCCGACAGCCCAAAATCCCGACAGCCCAAAATCCCAACACCCAAAATTCCGACAGCCCAAAATCCCAACCATCAAAATTCCGACAGCCAAAACTCCGTGTTCTTGATTAGGTTAGGATAGTTTTGTTGTGTGGCGTGGTTGAGTTAGTTTTTGGTATTTAGGTTGTGTCGGTTTGATTTTGTGGTTCTTTGCACACGTGAGGTTAATTTTGTGTATATTTTATGAGGTGAGTTTAGTACTGTGTATATCTGAGATGTTAGGTTATGTCGGATTCGGTTCGTTTTGAGTGACTTTCATAAGTTTATGTTCGGTTAGGTTAGATTTGAGTATTTTTCATAAGTTTAGAGTAGTTTTGTGTATCTATTGCCACACTGGTGTAGTACGAAGTATTTTGGTCAAATTAGGTTCGGTTAGATTTGTGGATTTACTATTGGCATTTATTATTAAGTTAGGTTAGGTTAGTTTTGTGTAACTTTTTGGAAGATTAGGTTAGGGTAGTTCTGTGTAACTTTTTGTAAGGTTAGGTTAGGTTAGGTTAGTTTTGTGGATTTATGGTAAATATTCGGAAGTGTAACTCCTGTCAGAATCGAGCTGATTTTTTTTGTGTGGTTTCTTACAGTTAACAGACATTATATTTAATATTATTATGGCAGCGCATCAACAAAAACAATGTCAATAAACATATTTTTTAAATATTTTATGTACGCGTTCACTGTGCACTGTGAGAACTTAACGAAATAGAAAATATTCGGTTGAACAGTAACATATTAAATTCGTTTTCTGTGCCGCCCAGATCCCCCTAATAACTACACTAATTAATACCAATAAATATGTTACTTTGTAAATTGTGTTTATTATTTTCTTATATTACAAATGGGTATTGGTATTAGTTAGTGTACTATATTGGGAGGTCTGGGGGACGGAGCCCCACAGTCAACAAAACGAATTTAATATGTTACTGTTCAACTCGAGGGGGATGTTCTGTTTCTTGTTTTTCATCTGGAATTGTCGTGGTATTATCCCAAAATTCGGAAAACGTGATCACCACGGTGGCCTGTCGGGATCTTGGATGTCGGGATTTTGGCCTGTCAGGATTTTGGGTGTTGGGATTTTGGGTTTCGGGATTTTGGGGTGGACCCGGAATCAACATACCCATTGCGGATTAACTACACTGCAGTTCACGAGAGACCATACTTAACTCGCGCAGGTTACTAGGTCTAGGGACATTTTTAATAACGTGTGTGATTCCCCTATACAGTGTTGCGTGTGGATTAGGATATTTAGGGATATATGAGATGTAAAAGAACGTGGGTAAGGTATCCGTGGGGCGCTAAAGCACCCTGCTCGCAAGGTGCGAAAATGAAATAAAATCGAACTGTATTCACTGTTGTCTTCAATTACTAAGTCCAACTCTTTATTAAACAAAAGTGAAATGTTGGTTTGTAAATGCGTTTTATTTGCGGCTTGAGAACAACTTGTCTAAATCGAGTGACAAAATCATTCTGAACGTTCTACGCTTGGCGGAGGAGATCTTCGCGCGTCGTCGATCGATTCCCCTTCCTTGATGGATCCTGGATCCACCCTTAGGATCATCCCTCGTCCAATAGTGGAAGAGTTCACTCCGTCCTGCGTAGGCCCCTTCTCCCGGCCATGGTCCACCCTCAGGCGCGTGGAAGTGGAGGCGCTCCGCCAAGACGCTAGAACGTTGCAGCGCGCATGTGCTACGAGAAAGCGTGGGACCCAGAGAAATTAGGAAACGACAAGACCTTGTACTTGCCAAAGCAACTCTTGAGGAAATTTACGACCCTTTCAGAGTGCATGAATAGACAGGATATCGAAAAAGACTTCGTAACTTTTAAGGACCGTTCGTGACTTGGTCGAAAACAACGAATTGGCTAAATTAGTCTTTTAGGAATTTTCGAAGTGAAACTATTCCATTCTCTGGATTTCCGGCCTTCTCTCAGCTCGAGGGTTTACAATGTAATCTTTGTCTATTTATATAAGTGTATGCGCAGATGATGTTTGAATTTCGCTCTTAATTTATGACCTTCGATACAAAAGGTCCTCGACTGATATTCGAGACATATCGATACTACAGACTGTCGATAAATATTCCCATGGCAGTGTCGCCATAACAGTCCAAACATATTCACGTGATAACGTTTCACATTACAACAGCTTACTTCTTACTTGACGATCATATAATTTTTTTCTTTGCAAAATAATAGGAATTTCATTGCATCGTGTATCTTTACCGTGTCATCATCGCTTATCAGTTATCGTACGTCATATATTTCTGTCCACTATTTATATGATTGAAAAGTAAGAAGCAAGCTGTAGAAGAGAATCACACACGTTATTAAAAATCTCCCTAAACCTAGTGTGCAGCGCGAATTAAGTTTGGTCTTTCGTGAAATGCAGTATACATGTACATCAGAGGTGCTACCAACTTCTGATACAATCGTTACAATTACAAATGTTTTCTGCTGTATCTATAACGTTTCGAAATTGGTTTTCTTACGTCTTATTAATTACCAAGTTTGTCATACCGCAATCAAATCGTTATTGGCAGGATCGTATATTCAGGTATTTTTAATTTTGCGCCGCCTCCGAAAACTTTGAAATGTATTTAGTATCCTATTTAACGATTAAGTAGATTTTATTAATAGCTATTGAATACTGGTATAAATGAGATAGAAATTATTTTATACTTTTTAGTGGAACGAGCAGTATTAGAAGGATACCGTAAGGATGTTTTGTATTTTTATTGGATACACAATAACTATCAACCAAAAAAAATATATTGATCTGTTACGCCCCGGCGGAAAATTTGAATTTTATCCGCCTTGCGTCCCTTATCAAGCCTTTTGGGTTACGAGAGTATCTCATGTAAGGGGCCTATAGGCGGGTGTTTCGGTTTTCCGCCAATCTTTTCATTCCTCCTCGACCTTGTACATTCTTGTCAAGCCTTTCGAGGTTACGAGAATTTCTCATGCAGGGATGTACAGAGAAGAGTTTGAGTTTAATTCTTTCCTATCTTTGAATTTTTCTATCGCTTTCTCTTCTTTACCTGCTCTACCCTGGATTCGTGTATCTTGTCAAACCCTTCGGGGTTACGAGAATTTCTCATGCGAGGTACACGAGGAAAGGTCGTTTCTATTTCCTTCTTTTCAATAGTTTACGTGACCCTCCTTGAAACTATCGTCGCCAACCAAAGTAACATAATACAGTAATACAGCGCACAAAAACTCGGGTTAGCTCGAGAGTGAGAGAGAGCCGTTAGCACAACATCAGCGCTACGCAGTTAGCCAGTGCTTCGCATTTTGGGAATTCCCCTGCTAACTGCGTAGAAACGGGATAATCGTAATAATTCCTTTGTTAGAAAACTCGTTCTCTCTCTATTGCACAAAGCGTCAGCCGGTCCTATAAGGATCATTATTACCTGATCGGAATGATAGTGTGGAAGAGTGGACGGACGAATATGTATTTAAACGATGAAAGTAAGAAATGAGAACCCTTATAAAAGCGAACGTCGCGAACATTCGACCGCCGTTCGAAATTCAAGGGTCCTT